CAATCACCTAAATATGAGCCAGCAGTGTGCTGCAGCTGCCAAAAAGGCCAACACAGTGCTGGACTGCATTAACAGAGGGATAGAATCAAGATCACGCGAAGTGTTAATACCACTTTACAATGCCTTGGTAAAGCCACACTTGGAATACTGCATCCAGTTTTGGTCACCACGATGAAAAAAAGATGTTGAGACTCTAGAAAGAGTACAGAGAAGAGCAACAAAGATGATTAGGGGACTGGAGGCTAAAACATATAAGGAACGGCTGCTGGAATTGGGTATGTCTAGTTTAATGAAGAGAAGGACGAGGGGGGACATGATAGCAGTGTTCCAATATCTCAAGGGCTGCCACAAAGAAGAGGGAGTCAAGCTATTCTCCAAAGCGCCTGAAGGCAGGACAAGAAACAACGGATGGAAACTAACCAAAGAGAGAAGCAACCTAGAACTAAGGAGAAACTTAGTTCTACTTCTCCTACTCTACTCCTACTCTACTCCTATTCTATTCTATTCTATTCTATTCTATTCTATTCTATTCTATTCTACTCTACTCAATTCTATTCTATTCTATTCCTTATTCTAATTCTAATTCTATTCTATTCTATTCTATTCTATTCTATTCTATTCTACTCTACTCTACTCTATTCTATTCTATTCTATTCTATTCTATTCCGATTCTGTTCTATTCTATTCTATATTCTATTCTATATTCTATTCTATTTTATTCTATTTTACTCTACTCTATTCTATTCTATTCTATTCTATATTCTATTCTATTCCTTATTCTATTCTATTCTATTCTATTCCTTATTCTACTCTACTCTACTCTACTCTACTCTACTCTACTCTACTCTACTTATATTCTATTCTATTCTATTCTATTCTATTCTATTCTATTCTATTCTATTCTATTCTATTCCTTATTTTATTCTATTCTATTCTATCGCTGAAGACAATTAACCAGTGGAACAACTTGCCTTCTATTCTATTCTATTCTATTCTATTCTATTCTATTCTATTCTATTCACTCCCGGGGGCAACGCGCGGCGCCAGCATCCCGCGGGGCTCGCTCGATCCAGCCGCTTCTCCTCGGCTCCTTCGCCTCGCAACGGGCCGGCGTGGAGGGCCGGAGGCGCCCAGGAGGGGGCGAGCCAGCCACGGGCAGAGAAGGCCTCGGCGGGTCCGCCCCGGAACCCGAGGAAAACAAGGGCGAAGCGAAGCGTCGCCATCCGCCCGAGAGGAGCCGAGCAGCGGATGCCTCTCGCCGCCCTTGGCCCCCGCCGGAGAATCCCGAGGCGCCCGGCCATCGTCCTCCGCGCCCAGCCCCGAAGCGCCGCCCGGCAGCCCGGAGGGCCGAGCCGGCTTCTCCATCGCTCCCGGTCCGGGGTGTTGCTGCGGCTGGAGGAGGAGGAGGAGGAGGCGAGCCTCGGAGCCCTCTTGCCCCGGTGCCCGCGGGCCACTTCTGGGGCACCGCTGCCAGGCCAGGTTCGCGTTGGAGACTTGGGACAGGTTTGCCCATAAGCCACGGCCGAGGCCCGGTCGGCTGTGGGGAAATGGGTTCGGGGGTGCTCGGAGCCTCTTTGCCCCTCTCCCAAGGTTTAGGATCCTGGCCAGGGAGAGTCCTCCAGCTTTGCGGGCTGAAAGTGGAGGGTGGGTGACTCTGTTTGGTAAGCTAAGCAGGACCAAGGCTGGTTTGGACTTGGATGGGAGGCCTGCGGTAGACGCTGGGAAGTTGAGAGACACACGTCCTGGATCCGGGCAGGGAGAATCCAGGGTTTTAGAATAGAATAGAAGCTGGAAGGGACCTTTGGAGGTCTTCTAGTCCAGCCCCCCTGCTCAAGCAGGAGAACCTATATACCAGTGGTTCTCAACCTGTGGGTCGGGATCCCATTTGGGGTCGATCGACCATTTCATGGGGGTCGCCAAGCAAGGCTGTCTGCCATTTTTTTTGTCTGCCATTTTTTTCCCCCCTTTTCCGGCAGGTGCCTTACCTCCCTTGGGCTGGGCCAGCTGGTGGTCGGCCTGCTCCATCTCTGCCGCTTGCCAGCTATGCCTCGGCCGGCACAGGGGGCGGAACCACGCATGCGCGGCACTCCCAGGCAGGGAAAGTCCTCGACTTACGACCGGTTGGGTAGTCCTCGGCTTACGACCGGTTTAGTCCTCGACTTACGACCGGTTTAGTCCTCGACTTATGACCGGTTTAGTCCTCGACTTACGACCGGTTGGGGTCACGGCATTAAAAAGGTTGAGAACCACTGCTATATACCATCTAGCCCAGGGGTAGGCAACCTTGGCTCTTTTATGACTCGTGGACTTCAACTCCCAGAAGAACCAAGGTTGCCTACCCCTGGTTTTGCCTCTTCTTGAAAATCTCCTGTGATGGAGCACCCACGATTTCTGGAGACAAAGCTGTTCCACTGGTTGATTGTCCTCACTGTCAGGAAGTTTCTCCTTAATTCCAGGTTGCTTCTCTCCTTGATCGTTGTTTCTCGTCCTTCCCTCTGGTGCTCCGGTGAACAACCTGGCCCCCACTTTTTGTGAATATCTGAGGGGCTTACCAAGAGCTCACTTCCAGAGGGGGGGGGAACACACACATATATAGGTACTCCTCGACTTAACAACCCCAGTTTTTCTTACGACCAAAAATTTTCGTTGCTAAGTGAGACGTTTGTTAAGTGAGTTTTGCCCCATTTTTACGACTTTTCTTGCCACAGTTGTTGTGAATAACGGCAGTTGTTAAGTTAGTAACACAGTTGTGAGGTGAATCTGGCTTCCCCATTGACTTTGCTTGTAAAAAAAGGCTACAAAAGACCCCAGGACACAGCCACCGTCATAAATAGGAGTCAGTTGCCAAGCATCTTAATTTTGATCACGTGACCATGGGGAGGCTGCAGCGGTTGTAGGTGTGATGAACAGTCGTAATAACTTTTTTTTCAGTGCTGTTGTAACTTTGAACGGTCACTAAGTGAAATGTTGTAAGTTGAGGACTACCTGTATATTTCCCTGCATTACCATTTCTGTATTTAACAGATGCCTGTGGCTTGTTCTTCAGTTCATTTACTGACCATTACAACAGCACTGAAAAAAGTGACTTATGACCATTTTTCACACTTGTGACCATTGCAACACATTAATGGTCACGTGATCAAAATTCAAATGCTTGGCAGCTGGTTCATATTTATGATGGTTGCAGTGTCCTGGGATCATGTGTTCACATTTTGCGACCTTCCCACAAGTAGAATGGAATGGAATGGAATGGAATAGAACAGAAACTGGAAGGGACCTTGGAGGTCTTCTAGTCCAGCCCCCTGCTCATGCAGGAGAACCTATACCATCTCAGACAGGTGAATGTCTAGTCTCTTCTTAAAAACTTCCAGTGATGGAGCGCCCACGATTTCTGGAGGCAAGCTGTTCCACTGATTAATTGTTCTCACTGTCAGAAAGTTTCTCCTTAATTCCAGGTTGCTTCTCTCTTTCCAACCATTGTTTCTCGTCCTTCCCTCTGGTGCTTTGGTGAACAACGTGACCCCCTCTTCTTTGTGGCAGCCCCTCAGATACTGGAATGCTGCTATCATGTCTCCCCTATTTCTTCTTTTCTCTAGACTAGCCAAACCCAAGTCCCTTAGCCGTTCTTCGCATGTTTTAGCCTCCAGGTCTTTGATCATCTTAGTTGCTCTTCTCTGAATTTTTTCCAAATTCTCAACATCTTTTTTGTGATATGGTGACCAAAATTGGCTGCAGTATTCCAGGGGTGGTCTTACTAGGGTTTTATAAAGCGGTACAACAACTAATACCTTGCATGATCTTGATTCTATGCCTCTGTTTATACAACCCAGGATTGTATTAGCTTTTTTGGCTGCTGCAGCACACTGCTGGCTCATGGTTAAGTGATGGTCCACCAGGACCCCAAGGTCTCTCTCACAGTTACTGTTTTTGAGCCAGGTCTCGCCTAATCTATACTTATACCTTTCATTTTTCCTGCCTAAATGTAAAACTTTGCTTTTCTCCACGTTGAAACTCATTTTGTTGGATAATCAATGGGGAAGCCAAATTCACTTAACAACAGGGTTACAAACTTAGCAACTGCAATTATTCACTTCACAGCTGTGGCAAGAAAAGTTGTAAAACAGGGCAAAACTCACTTAATTTTGGATGTTTTAGTCCGGCTTACCTGGCACGGTTGAGAAGTTTCAACTTGGCAGATCAAAAATCCCTGTCTGCGTTCTACAGGTAGTCCTCGACTTACAACAGTTTGTTTAGCGACCGTTCGAAGTTACAGCAGCCCTGGAAAAAGTGACTTATGGCCGGTTTTCACATAACTGTTGCAGCATCCCCACAGTCATATGGTCGAAATTGGCAACTGACTCATATTTATGACGGTTGCGGCGTCCCGGGGTCGCGTGATCCCCTTTTGCGACCTTCTGACAAGCCACGTCAATAGGGAAGTCAGATTCACTTAACGACCGGATCACTAATTGCAGTGATTCACTTAACATCTGTGACAAGAAAGGCCATAAAAGGGGAAGGAAACTCGGTTAACAACTATCTCGCTTAGCAACAGCAATTTTGGGCTCAATTGTGGTCATAGGTCGAGGACTATCTGTACTCCCTCCTCATATTTCCCACCGCCACCACAACCCTGTGAGGTAGACTGGGCTCAAAAACGATTGCTCCAAAATCCCCCAGGGAGCTTTTGCAATGATGGGGATCTGAGTCTAATCATTCTTCGTCCGGCACTTATCCCATCCTAGCTAAGTGTAGGGATCTTCAGGGATCGAGTGGGGGACCAGATCCTGGGTCTCTGTGGTGCCAGTCTAACACTACAATGACTACAATCCCGTGATATTGCAGGTGGACAACTGTGCATATTCCGTGTTTTGTTAGGCCCGCCCTGAAGTCTTCCACCGGGAATGAAAGCAGCGAAGGAGTGCCTTTCGGCGGAGCCTATATTGGAAGGGCGACCAGCAGGCCCTGGAAAAGCCACCGGTCCTCTTGCGAGTGAAGGCATGATCAAGCCGCCAGGATGGGGAGCGTCACGCGAGAGCAAAGGGGAAACTTGTAAAGCGGGACAAGAACGCTGGGAGGCCCAGTGGCAGGAGTTCCTGAGGACGCTCGATCCAGGAAGGGGAGGAAAACCCGTGATGATGTCAGAGGCCTCCTCCTGGGAAGACCCCAAGGCCTTCCTGGCTTCCTTTGAGCAGGTGGCCACTGCCTGTCGGTGGCCCAGTGGAGAATGGACGGCCCGTCTCCGGCCAGCTCTGAGCGGAGGGGTGGAAGAGGCCTTCCGGAGCCTGGATGCCAAAGACCAAGGGGATTATGGGAAGGTCAAGGCCGCCATCTTGCAAGGGGAAGCCCTGAAAATGGAGATGCAACGCCAGCACTTCCGCCAGTTCTGCTGCCAGGAGGTGGGAGACCCCAGGAGGCTTTACGGCCAGCTCCAACAGCTGTGCCTCCAGTGGTTGAGGCCGGAGAGACGCAGCAAGGAGCAGATCCTGGAGCTGTTGATCCTGGAGCAGTTCCTGACCAGCCTCCCACCGGAGCTGCGGAGCTGGATCCAAGCCAGGAGGCCGGAGACGTGTCCCCAGGCGGTGGCTCTGGTGGAGGACTTCCTTCGGAGCCAGGAGCAGACCAGATCCGGATCACGGCAGGTGAAGTTTCAAGAATTAATTCAGACAGGTAGGCAACCTTGGCTCTTTTATGACTGGTGGACTTCAACTCCCAGAATTCCTGAGCCAGCATGGCTCAGCTTGAAAACCTCTCCCTTTCCCCTCAGCACGGCTGGCTCAGGAATTCTGGGAGTTGAAGTCCATGAGTCATAAAAGAGCCGAGGTGGCCTGCCCCCGGTTTAAGGGATGTTAAGAAAGTTGCTATAGTCATGCTCCAGTTTCAGTTGCCAGCTTATTGTCTTTGTACTATGCAGGTAGACCTCGACTTATAACAATTCATTTAGTGACCGTTTGAAGTGACAACGGCACTGAACAAAGTGACTTGGGCCTGTTTTTCGCACTTACGACCGTGGCAGCATTCCCATGGTCACCCGATCAAAATTAAAAAACACTGAGCAACTGGCATGTATTTATTTTATTTTTTTTATTAAAAGTTTTATAAAAATTACAATATAAACCCCCATACCCACCCCCAAGCCCCCCTCCCCCACTTCCCAAAGCTGAACACAGGGTTACAAATATAATAATCATAATCTAACTAACATTAACCAACTATTTAAATAACCAAGTCCATAACACGCTTTAACTCCCCTTTAACATAAATTTAAACAAATTAAAATTAAAAACAATAATAAACAAATTAACAACCTAATTGTTAAACAATACAATATTAATACTAAATAATAATATCATATAATTAAAACTAACAAAAATTCCACTATAATAAACTATTAATAATAATAATACTCTAAAATTTACTCATAAGCCAAATGGAACTTTTTAGTCCCATATTTGTTCTGAATATAATCTATCCATCTTCTCCAGACCGAAATGTATCTTTCTTGTGAATGATCCTTCAAATAAGCAGAAATCTTGGCNAGGCAAGCAATCCTTTTTCCAATATTGCCCAACCAATAACCTCTCAGCTGTTATCAAATTCAACATCAAATTAATTTCTTTGGTATCACCATCTGTAATAACACCCAGTAGAAATAATTGTGGAGTAAATTTTATCTTTTTCTTAAAAATCTTTTGAATGTTCCACCAAATCTTAATCCAAAAAGCTTTTATATTTCTACAAGTCCACCAAATATGGAAATAGGTAGCATCCAAACTACCACATCTCCAACATTTGGGCTGTAAATTAGGATACATACAAGACAACTTTTTAGGAACCAGATGCCATCTATAAAACATTTTATAAAAATTTTCTCTTAAATTCTGGGCCTGGGTAAACTTTACATTTCTGACCCATATTATCTCCCACATATCCAATGGAATCGGTTCTTGGATATTTTGAGCCCATTTTACCCAACTGGCATGTATTTATGATGGTTGCCGTGTCGCTGGGGGGGGGGGTCATGTGATCCCCTTTGGCGACCTTTTGACAAGCAAAGTCAATGGGGAAGCCCAGATTCACTTAACAACCATGTTAGTAACATAACAACTGCAGTGATTCATTTTACAACCCGGGCAAGAAAGGCAGTAAAATGGAGTAAAACTCATTTAACAATTGTCCTGCTTAGCAACAGAAATGTCGGGCTCAATTTTGGTCGTACGTTGAGGGCTTCTTGTATAGGCAAGTCCAAAATCTGAACCAAGTTTAGGTAACCTTTAATTAGATTAGATAACCCTTATTGTCATTATTTCCTGTTTGCACAACCACACACATTAAAAATGAAATTTAGTTGCTTCCTCTCAAAGTGTACACATACATGACACACATTTAAAACATACTATATACAACATATGTACTTGTTGTATAAGTCAATAGCTTGTTCCCTGTAGCTTGCCCGGATTTATCTTTTTTTTTTAATGAACTATAATGTTGGATTTTATTGACACATTAATTTCGCTTTCTTAAGTGGCCGCCGTGGGAATTTTCTCCCCACACTGTGTGACAAAAACCTTTACAATACAAGTAGTCCTCAATTTACAACATTCGTTTAGCGACTGTTCAAAGTTACGACAGCACTGAAAAAGGTAACAACCTGATTTCGCACGTACAACTGTCACATCATCAACACGGGCCTGTGGTCAAAATTTGAGACACAAGGCAACTGGCAAATGTAACTTATTGGGCTTGTGTAATAGAGAAAGGCTGAGATGTTTGTGTGTGTGTGTGTGTGTGTGTAAAATCAGTCCTTTCACTCTGAACTGCAACATCCTCATTTTTTTTCAGAGTTCCTTAAAGGAAGAGCAGATGGATTTCTTACACACAGAAGAAACATCTCTGGAAGCTATGAAGAGAGAAAATGGTGAGATAGAGGGGAGTAAAACTCTCCTTTCCTTTCCTTTCCTTTCCTTTCCTTTCCTTTCCTTTCCTTTCCTTTCCTTTTCTTTCCTTTCCTTCCCTTTCCTTTTCTTTCCTTTCCTTTCCTTTCCTTCTTTCCTTTCCTCTCCTCTCCTCTCCTCCTTTTCTTTCCTTTTTCCTCTCCTCTCCTCCTTTCTTTCCTTTCCTTTCCTTTCCTTCTTTCCTCTCCTCTCCTCTCCTTTCCTTTCTTTTCCTTTCCTTTCCTTTCCTTCTTTCCTCTCCTCTCCTCCTTTCCTTTCCTCACCTCTCCTCCTTTCCTTTCTTTTCCTCTCCTCTCCTCTCCTCCTTTCCTTTCCTCCTCGCCTCTCCTTTCCTTTCCTTTCCTTTCCTTTCCTTTCCTTTCCTTTCCTTTCCTTTCCTTTCCTTTCTTTTACTTTCCTTTCCTTTCTTTTACTTTCCTCTCTTCTCCTCTCCTCTCCTCCTTTCCTTTCCTTTCCTCTTCGCCTCTCCTCCTTTCCTTTCCTTTCCTTTCTTTTACTTTCCTTTCCTTTCTTTTACTCTCCTCTCCTCTCCTCTCCTCTCCTCCTTTCCTTTCCTTTCCTCCTCGCCTCTCCTCCTTTCCTTTCCTTTCCTTTCCTTTCTTTTACTTTCCTTTCTTTTACTTTCCTCTCCTCTCCTCCTTTCCTTTCCTTTCCTTTCCTCTTCGCCTCTCCTCCTTTCCTTTCCTTTCCTTTCCTTTCTTTTACTTTCCTTTCCTCTCCTCTCCTCTCCTCTCCTCTCCTCTCCTCCTTTCCTTTCCTTTCCTCCTCGCCTCTCCTCCTTTCCTTTCCTTTCCTTTCACTTTCCTCTCCTCTCCTCTCTTCTCCTCTCCTCTCCTCCTTTCCTTTCCTTTCTTCTCCCCTCCCCCCTTCCTCTCTCCTCTTTCTTTTTCTCTTTTCACATTTGTGACATACTTAGGCTGGTGGAACCACCATACTTAGGCTGGTGGAACCACCATACTTAGGCTGGTGGAACCACCATACTTAGGCTGGTGGAACTTGGGTCAGCTTTCTAGCAAAAGGATTTTGAGCAAATGCAGTTTAGCCTCCAATACATCAGGATAGATGCATCCATTTTGTGATTGCTGTGTGTAAAGCAGCGTTTTTAGAGACTTGGCAATTTTAAAATGTCTGCACTTCAATTCCCAGAATTCTCCAGCCATCAGAGGTTTACACTTCTCAAAGTTGCCAAGTCGTAAAGCAAGAGCTTAGTGCAGATCCAGGGAGCTCCTTCTTATTGGAATCTACCCTGTTTCTCAGGAAGCGCTGAATGAGGTATTGCCCTTGGCCAGGGCTAGGCCGCCTCGGCTCTTTTATGACTCGTGGACTTCAACTCCCAGAATTCCTGGGCCAGCCATGCTGAGGGGAAAGGGAGAGGTTTCCAAGCTGAGATATGCTGGCTCAGGAATTCTGGGAGTTGAAGTCCACGAGTCATAAAAGAGCCGAGGTTGCCTACCCCTGATCTAAGGGCTATTCTAAGTGCTATTTATATAGCCTAGGGGTAGGCCACCTCGGCTCTTTTATGACTCGTGGACTTCAACTCCCAGAATTCCTGGGCCAGCCATGCTGAGGGGAAAGGGAGAGGTTTCCAAGCTGAGCCATGCTGGCTCAGGAATTCTGGGAGTTGAAGTCCACGAGTCATAAAAGAGCCAAGATGGCCTACCCCTGGTCTATACATATGTTGTATATAGCATGTTTATATGTCTGTTATGTATGTGTACACTTTTGAGAGCAAGCAACGGAATTTCATTTTTAATGTGTGCCAGTGTTCCCACAGTAAAAAAAAAAATGACCATAAAGATTATCTTATCTATCTTATCTTCTAACTCTGTTATGCTGTTATTCCTCAATCTTTTCTTCTTTTCTTTGTAGACCACGAAGCGGGAACTGAGCCAGCCCTCCCAACAGACCAGCTTCAGGGTGGAAACCTAGATTTTTCCGGTAAGGAAGGTCCTTCAAGCCCCACATATAAAGATCAGCCAATATGATTTGCTACCTGCAGCATAAAAAAAAAAAGCTGCTTGTCAAGAGTTCACATCCACTATCTTCATCTCCGGCAAAGCAAGATGTTTAGAGTTTTAATCCATTCCTAGCGACTGAAAGAGGGAACAAATGCAGAGCAAACATTAAGAAAGAAGCCACATCAACCGTAGGCCAGAATGCCAATTTCCAATAACTCATGAAGTTAGCCCTGGCTCTCTCTTCCCTCCCGACTCTTCTTATATTCAGGTTTAACCTGCTCCTCCCACCTAAGTGAGTCGTTGTTATGCTCACAAGGCGAAACCCCTCTTCCAAGAAACAGGCAGGAACCGCAAGAAAAAAACCAACCCCTTTTATTCTCACGGACCTGAGTCAATGTCCAAGGCAAACAAACACAGTTCACAGAAACTCGATCCTCGACACGAACGGTTGCCTTTGGCAACCAGCACCTCCCACACCTTCCCTTTTATTATGCAGCCAAGGCCTGGCTTCCTAATGCCTTCTCCTTTGCCTTTGGAGCCACCCCGTTGCATTCCTCTGTCCTACTCTCTTTTCTTGCCGGCGTTTTCGTGCATCCTGGATATCTCCCAGCTGTGATTCATCACTGTCCAACTCAGACTCCCAGCACAGCTGTGTCTCAGCCTGAGCGCGAGTAGAGGGGCCAGGCTCCTCGTCAGACTGTAAGTCTTGGAGCTCCTAGAGCCTTCCTCTGACTCTGATGTCACTCCAGGCCCCGCCTTCTCCTCTGATTCCTCAGACTCAGCTGCCGGGTCCACTGGCTGGCGAGGAATCACAGCACACCCCTGAATGACCCATGAAACCCAATCTTTATTGTAATACTGGAAGTCCTCAATTTACGACTACCACTGGGATCAGAATTTCTGTTTCTAGGCGAGGAGATGATTAAGTGAGTCATGCCGGAGTTTACTATCTTTTTTTGCCACTGTTGGGTAAGTGCATTACCACAGCTGTGAGGTGAGTTATACGTTTGTTAAATGAATCTGCCTCCCCCCGTTGACTTTGCTTATCAGAAGGTCGCAAAATAGCAATAAGCACATAGACTTATATACCGCTTCACGGTGCTTTACAGCCCTTCTCTCAGCGGTTTACAGAGTCAGCACACTGCCCCCAACAGTCTGGGTCTTCATTTTACCAACCTCAGAAGGATGGAAAGCTGAATCAACCTTGAACCGGTCAGGATCGAACTCCTGACTGTAGGCCGAGTCGGCCTGCAACACTGCATTCTAACCACAGCATTCTAACCACAGCATCACTAAAGTGATCACATGACTCCGGTACCCTGCAACCGTCCTAAATACGTCATAAATAAGCAAAGTCAATGGAGGGAGGCAGATTCACTTCACAACTGTGTTACTAACTTAGCAACTTAACAACTGTGGCAAGAAAAATCACAAAATGGGGCAAAACTCACTGAACAAATGTTTCACTTAGCAACAGAAGTGTTGGAGTTCAATTATTGTCATAAGTCGAGGACTACGTGTACGGCGCTTTAACCACGGCGTCTGATGGGTGCGGTGGGTAGGAGAAACCAGATATTGAAAGAAAAGGCAGACAAAGGAGTGAGGACTGGTTAAAATGTCTCTTGTCTTTGTCCGCAGATGACGTAAGAGAGTGTGAGGTTCATGAAGAGCATTCCTATTATGGACAAAATGCATTGGGAGAAAAATGCAAGACAGCTCCACATACAAGCCACAGGGATAAAGGAAAGGTTGCAGAAACGCAGGGTGAAGGAACCGAGTCCGAAGACCAGCAGAGGACAGAAAGAGAGGAGAGACAGAATGAATGTACAGAATCCATTATCCAAAATATCAATAAATCCAGTAAAGAAGAAACGCCTCTGTTCTCCAAATACGGCAGAAGGTACCGCTACAGAGTAGAATTTGACGTGATCCATTCCAGGGAGGACTACGAAGAAGGTCCCAATTCAGAAGAAAAAGTCCAGCATAATTCCTCAATTAGGCTACCGGAGAATGCTGAAATAAGTCAGAAACGTGGGAACAAAGGTCACTGTCAGGATGAAGAACCCCACTGGTCCTCCGAATATGAGAAAAACATTCATTTTGCGGACTCGCTGAGCGGGATTCCAGCCTGTCCAGCGGAAGGTAGGCAGTATGAATGCTCTCAGTGTGGGAAATGCTTAAGTACACGAAGAAACTTGAAACTACACCAGAGAAGCCACACGGGAGAAAAGCCCTACGAATGTTTCCAGTGTGGGAAATGCTTCAGCCAGGCCGGGTGTTTGAAGACCCACCAAAGATTTCATACCGGGGAGAAGCCCTACAAATGCGCTCAGTGCGGGAAATATTTCAGGCAGGCGGGATATCTGAAGACCCACCAGAGGTTTCACACGGGAGAGAAGCCCTA